GACTTTAAAGATATGTGGTTGAAATATGTACATAAAAAAAATAACATCTTGTAATTTTGCTTTAAAGACAGATTCTGTCTAAAGTTCTTTTTGCAATATTAACTTGAAAAAGAAAAAGTTTATCTAAAAACATTAAAATTGTTGAATTATGTTTGTGACACTTTTAAAATGTTTCTTTAATGGTTGGGTCAAGAATATTAATAGAAAAATATCTGAAAAAATAATTTGTTCATTTTTTTTAATCAGGTTTGTTGGAGAAACGAGTGTCTTTCTTAACTTCTTAACTTCTACTCTCCAACTTGAAATTGGTTTTAAGTTGTAAATCTTAGGCTCTTGGATATTGCTGCATACTTTTGACGTGATTTGCATGCAAGTGCTCGTCAAGTTTTCGACATTCCCCCAAATCCTGCTTAATAACATTCAGACACACTAGTTGCAAAATGTATTTAACAACCAGTTTTGCAAGTGCTAAATATTTTTAACGATCACATCGGGAGGTACCCTTTACTTTAAAGGCGTTCCGAATTATCTTTTATGGGGCTTTGAATTTGGTTAAAGTGGACAATAAACGGTATGGCTTAATTAAGAGCGGGCTGCACTTTAGTTTACTCACTTGCATTGCGCTGGGTTTTGTTTGTGAACAGTTTCATTTTGAGAGCTGCAAACGTTTTTGATTTATTGCAATTTTCGCAACTATTTCAACTATTTAAAGCTGTGTGGCAATCAATTAACAGATATTTATAGTGGCCTGTTTTGCTGACGAAAATCAGTTACTTGAGCAATTTATACATATATAAAACTTTATTGCAGGCAAACAAAACGATTAACAATAACAAGTCCAAAGATTATAACTTCTGATTAATTTGCATGGGTTGTTTGTACGGTTAATTTGAATTAATAAACCGTAAATATCTCTTTATAAGACATTAAGGACCTTCGTATATTTATTAGTTTCAACAATCAGTTTTTTTTTTTTTTTTTTTGTGATACGTTTTGATAGATCCGAAATGCACTTTGATTTGCACAGAATTTCCCGACTATTTGCCTAACTAAATGTAATTGAATTGGATGTACTTGTTTAGTTGCACTTGTTGGTTATTGTTGTTGTTTTTTTTTTTTTTTTGCTTTTTGCTGTTGTTGTAACTATTTGCGAATTGACTGACACGCACTTCCTATTCTCACGATATTTGACAACTTAATGCGCTGAGCTGAACGGCAGTGAGTACCTTTATATGGACTCTTGGGCCGGGCAGCTGAGCTCCGACTGAGACGTTAACTGCGACCAAGCTCAGACGTAGACCGGGCTGCGATCAAGCATCTAGCGTTAAAGCGCGAAAATCTTTTCATGAACCGGTCCACTTTCAAGCCTCTGCCTCTGCCGGCGCCGACGCCGACGTTGGCGGTGCGACGTCAGCGCCGGTCCCTGGGTGTCAATAGCTAAAACAACGACAATGACAACAGCAACAACTACAACTACAACAACAACAGCTCAAACATAACTGGCAGCGTTTTAATAATCGCCAAGTACTTGCAACTAAGTAGTCTGTTTCAAATATTACCAGAGTGCTATTTGCTCCAAACCCCTCAGAACGATGAGTTAATCGGCACTGTATCTGGATTTGTGGCTGTCGGGGGTTACTAAAGTTCGCCTATGTGTATTATTTTGTTGTTGTTCTAGCTGGGCCGCTGTCGCTGTCGCGTTGTGAATGTGGCTGTGGTACGCCATTTTAAAGATCACTTAGCCGCCTCAACGTTGTTTTACATTTAATAGCACAAATGACTCTATTTAATCCCTAATAAGCACGCACACGTGCCCCGCAGCTTTAGAACATGTATATTCATAAAACAATCGCATTTGAAACCAATTTCTGGGAGCGCAGGGCGCCCGGGGCTGGTACTTAGCAGAAAATAACTATTAAGTAGCAATGCGGATAATTATCAATCTGATCGATTTAGATCGTGGCCAATAGCCAGGTCACGTGTTCGATGCGGCCGTTCGACGGAACGCTGCGCTAAAAGCGTCTAGCCATTAGGTGGATATTGTGTTCAACGCAACAAAACTAGTTGGCAACGGCTTCTGGCAGGTCGGTCCATTAAGCACAAAGTGACCTGAGCGTTAGCCGAACCTTAAACTAAACTAAACTCTAATTCCACGTAAAGATCGCGTGTTTCTAATGTTCTCATTTGTGTACTTAATTATTATTGCGTACATTTGACAGCGCGTTTTCGTTTTTTTTTTTTATTTTTTTTAATTTTATATTTTTATAGACATTGTCTTATGTTCTGGCGTTAAATTTCGTCTGGACTTTAAGTGTAGCTTGAGCTCACGCGAAATTTAACTCAAGCTTAAATGTCCAGTCATTGGGTCCCACTAACTAGCAGTTGTCATGTTGTAAACTGTTAATTGTTGTTATTTATAGCAAGTCACACCATAATTATGGCATATTAACAACGCCCAAACGGCTAAAGTGCTTTTTAATGCTTTGGAAAGCCCTCCAACCCAAAGAGCTTTCCATGACGCTTTGAGCTTTGGCCAAGGATGTGCTTTGTACCCTTATCGGGAAAATATATTGCACGTACTCTGACTCACAAAGCAAGCAATACGTTAGCGGAAAACTATTATCACTCAATGTTTGTACTTGGTAAAAGGCAAATAATTAGAAAGCACAACAATGTTAATCTTTTAATACACTTAAGAGCATTCAAAGAAACCTCTAGATCATCAATATTTATACTTCGCATGCGGCGAATAGTTAGAAATGCATTATAAACTATGTCAAAATGACTGAAAGGTATTGCAGGAACCAAGGTATTGGAAGGTGTCATTGGCAAAGCATAACAAAACATTAAAAACGAATTATTTATATTTTTAATTATATATCTTATATTCAAACTGCTGAGACAAAGCGTAAGTTAATTTATTCTTTTCGCATGCTAAAGTTGAAGATGTGAAGATGTGCATCAGCAATGCCCCATTTTGCAGGCAAATTAAAGTTTATTAGAATTATGAAAAAAAAAAAATAATTGTTTAACTATTAATCTTTATCACAGTTCCTTCCTCTAAAGATTTTCTCTAGTTTTCCCCGAGTCACAATTAGAATTGTTTACAAATGTACATTCCAATTAAATATTAATTTTAAAGCTGTACGACTTCAACACCTATTAAGAAGCGATTAAGTATTATATTTGTATATATTAGCAGATGCACAACAGAGTATCAAAATTGTCGCTAAATCAGCTTGAGCGGCGATTTTCAAGAATATTAAAGCAAGAGTTAGTTGTTAAATTTAAATAAACATCCTCTTCGCTGCTTGGCTATGGGAATAAGTGAATCATGTAAGCGTTTAGATAAATGTGTGAGCATTTTCTAGAAGAAAACGATTTAACGACGAAATTATATTAATCAAATTGCTTAGTATAATTTGCTTAAGTGCTAGGCTCAAAAAAAAAAATAGGAAACCTTTTACCAATTCATCGAATGGAAATATCACGCGATGCGTGTGTTTTCTTCTTAACAAGGGAAACCCCATTTGCATGCTGCTATAAATTATAACTGTATATGCTAGGTACAATTTTTTTGTACCCAAACTACGGATTGTTAGATCGGCTACTCAAGTTGTAATGCATTCATTGCCCTCACTGTGATGCCATAAATAGTCGCGCTGACATTTTAACACTTGAAAGGTGAGAAAGACGAGAAAAGAGCACAGTACAATTAGCTGCATATAAAGCGTCAATTGGACATCCTTGAACCTAACTAGCACAAGGCATGACTTGGGCAATCAGTGTGTGAAGCACTTAAAGCTAGGGATTCCCCTCGTTACAACAGCGTCACTTGTTGTCAATGCCAACAAACAAGAAGTAAGAGCATAGAACAGTGAGCATATGTAAATTGACGGAAACTTTAACTATGAAGTTAGCCCCCTTCCCAAAGCTAGCAATTACTTTCGACACAGCTTGAGGGCATGTGCTATATTATTATATAGGTAAAGGTCAGTCAGGAGCCTTTCTCAACTTAATAATACAGGAAAAAAAAGTTTTCTTTAACTGCAGCTTGTTGATCTGTGCTCAACTCTAAAACTAACAATAAGGAACAAGCAAGGCGGTGAACCAATTAAATTTAAATATGATACGCTGTCGGTCAGTTCTAATGAATATTTAACGAGCTTAATTGCATTTGGTGCACTTTGAAAACAGTTTATCTTTATTCATATATTATATTGAATAGCAACACCAACAAGAGCATAAAAAACCAACTATATTAATAGTCGTACTGTGTATGCTACTTGACAATTAGCCGGGTCATTTAAAGTTAAGTTTATAATAATAAGCATTTAGAAAAGTCATCGTGGCTATGACGACAGACTGTTGTATTCAGATGCGGACAACGCGGCGTATTCGTAATGCATGTTACGTATACGCACTTAACCAGAAGTCAAAGATTATAGAACTGCATTCGTTGTCGAGGCAACAGCACGAATGACTCCAAATTACAGAGCAATTCAGTGGCACGCCGATAAATAATATATTTATATATGTATGTTATGTATAGATATAATTTACTTGTGGCCGTAACGGCGTCAACTGTGCCTCAAATCACAGCCAGCAAAGCCAGGCGCCAATTAAAAAATAATCAAATAATTCTAATTAATGATAGTGTCCAGTGGGCTGGCATTTGCATATCGAAACATTCAGGTGGGGACAGCAGGCGCTAATCCTTCGCATCGCATTTTGTCATTAATATCTAGCAGCATTTTGCGATATCTCGTTAGACAACTGTCAGTATTCGTATTCGTTAGCGTTGGCGTTATTGACGGGACTGTTTCCGTTCCAGCTGGTCCAAAACTTTACCTACATAATTAGCTTGCATATGAATTTATTTTTGAGGCTTCGCCGCTGCCAAGCAACGCTGAGCGGGTGCCCGGGGCAAGTTATCCTGCAGCTGTATCTAGGTCATGGTGCGTACGACGGGTTCGACTATAAATGCCTGTTGCTGCGCTGATTCGTTTACCATTTACCTTCGGTCGTTGGTTCCACCCGCTGCCTGTTGTTGACTAGCTCCTGAGCTCACCAATTGCTTCCATACAACACACCGTTGACCTATTGCCACTTGTTCGGCAGTTTCCGGTCATCATTCATAATTCTGCATTCGAGGCATCAGGTACTTGTTGCGCCACTGGACAACGTTGCACGCAACAGACGATTGCAAATTTAATTATCCACTTGTCAATACTCACCAGTTAAAGGTAAGCACCGAAAATATATATATATATATATTTTTTTTTTAATAAATAATTTATTTATTGCTTGTTGCAAAATGTATTTAATGAATTTATTATAATTAACAACGATAATTAGCAGCAAATGTGTGTTAAGGTATAGTTTAGTTTTCTCCAGTGCTGCGTTCTGTTTTGTGCAAAATGTTCAGTACAAATTATATATATTAGCTGGGAAGAGTTCGCAATATTGTATTATGCCCATATAAAGTTGTTAATTGGCTCATTAAAATTTACATAGATATAAGTCAAATTACGAAACAATGAGTTCTCGTTTTGCTCGCGTATTACAAAAAAAAAACATATATTCGTGTTGCATAGCTGCTGAGTGTGCCAGAAAATTGAGATAATCATGACGGAGTTGCCCTAACTATAATAACTAATTTGTTCAATTAAACTATAGCTTTCTTCGGGCAATTAGTGATTTACGTCAGATGCATTTGATTGCAATACGTAGGAACTAGTACATAAACGAAGCGATAATTGTATGGCCAATGCAAATTATTAGATATCCACTGGATACAAATACCCATGGCCCTGGGCAGACCCGTAAATGGGTTACTAATGAGCCAGTATACGGCTATCGAGTCCAGAAAATGTGAGCTTATAACTAGATACTCAGTAACTACTAGTTAGTTACGCAAATCACAATATAACAATTAGCAATTGGCTTTAATTCCCAAGATTTGATCTTAGTTTGAAGCGAATAAATGCGATTATATGGCTATAAAGCAATATATGCAAGCACACTTTTACTATTAACCAAATATACAAAAATATTGAATAAAATTTCAATTAGGCTTAGCACTCAAACATCAATCAATTTTTTTCCATCCACCTACTCTTCAATCCGCAGGTAATCGCATCATGTCCCAAACAATGCGCTGCACTTTGGTTGTCTGCGTGGCACTGGCTCTCTTTGCCGCTGGCTGCAACGTGGAGGCATCCAAGGCGCGGCCGCCGCGCAACAATGAGATCAGCACCATGGCGGATGCATTAAAGTATCTGCAGGACCTCGACGTCTACTATGGCGACAGAGCACGCGTGAGATTTGGAAAGCGCGGCTCTGTAATGCAGGCAATTCGCAATCGAGTACTTGAAAATGGCATCAACAGCTACAATAATGAAAATATCAATGACAACGGCGGTGAATTGGTATGTGAATATCCAATAGATTAGTTAAAACAGGGCCAGAAATTAAGTATGCAAATCTCCATTGTAGATACACGTCGCTGGTGAAGATGAAATGTTTTAATGATTGAGCGAAGAGAGAGTATAAGGTTTAGGATCTTGTTGCATCAGTTTGGAGCAATAGTTTAAATGTATACAACAATTTCTGGTAGCAAAAATACCAAAAAATACTTAAAATATGAATGTTAAATTAAACTTAAATGTTCATTGCAAAATACCCATGAATATATGGTAAATGTTGCTGTTTTCTTCATCATCAATGGCTTTAACAGTTGGCAAACAGCTGGGCTTTCAATTTACAATGTCGAACCAAGACAATTTAAAATTTTCTGTTCTTCATTCGTTTCGATTTAGTTTTAGTTTAATCAATCTTAAGATAGAACTTGATTTAAGCTTAAACCAGTTGTATGTTTTCAACTTCCTTTATGAGATCCATGTGCTTGAACTCATCTGGACGTTTGGTGAATGTCTCTAGCAATTTTAACTTATTCTCGTCTGTCTTATAGTAAAACATTTGCAGCTCATTCGCCAAACACTGCGCCTCCTGTGCAGTTAGAACCTTTGTGTCGTATTCGCCACGCATTAGTATGATTCCTTTGTCCTGCATCTCGGTGTAATGGACCAGTGTAAGGCATTCGGGTGCATTCTCATGATGCACCTGATAGGCCAGCAGCGGAGTAAAATGAACCGAGTTTGCGGCAAACTGCATCAGGATGAACTCAAAGCCCTCACTGCGTGGCAGTGGCAACAAAAAGATGGGATGCTCCTTAGCTCGTCCAATAAGTGTCTCGTATTGGGCCTTTGTCAGAGTGGCAGCTAGAACATCCTTGGTTTTATGGTATTCGATCCAGATTTGCGATATCTCCTCGGCGTTCTTATCAGCAATCAGCTCCATCTTCATGATGTCGGTCAGCTTCTTGTGGGGCAATTCAGCTTGTTCCGCGGCCAACTTTTCTTTGGGATGCAATAGCTCCGAGTAAGATCTTAATGGATGGATTTTCCACATTCAGAATCAGATTATGCTACTTATTATAATATGCTACTTTGGCTCACCTAGCCTGACTTTTTCCGTCAACGATGGGATTCATAACGCGCTCAATGCGATCCAAGAACTCTTCGGCCGATGTTTGTTGCATTTTGGCTATCTTGTCAGCATACTTGAAGTAGTAGGGATTGGTTTCTTTCAGCTGTTCAATTACCTCTTTAGCACGGCTTGACGACGTCATGGCTATGCTGCGCATAAATATTTGAGGATTTCTTGGGAAAATGCGTAAAAATTTACGAGCGCATTCCATTCCGAAACTAATCGAATCCAGAGAAGTTACACAACACACAGCTGTCAAACAGCTGAGTTTTCATTCAGTGTTGAGAAGTACCTTGCAGTCAACAGCGTGCTTTGCACACAGACAAATCTGTTCCTGCTTTCGAAGAATCGATGATTTTTGCAGTATTATTTACTTGAAATGCTAGTTAACAGCGTAGTTTAATTGAAACTGTTAGATACTCCTACGGTAAGCGTTTATTTTTAGATGGCGGTTTTTTTTTTCGTATTTGGAAATGTGCGCTTTCAGTATTTTTTCTGTATAGTAACTATTAGATGGTATGGTCACCTTTGTCATTAAACCTTTTATTAAAGCGGTTTATAAAAATAACGTTTGAAAAACCGTTAACAGCAGATTGATTCAAAATATGATAACAACAATGATAACCCAACGGGAAATGCTTGAAAATTTACTTTTCCTTTTTGTAAGTGGAATAATATATGGCAACGTTAGGCAGGTGCCCCTATATGACGCGACTTCCTATATACATGTATTAGTATTTGAATAACAAGAAAATAAGTACGTAATTTCTATATGTAGATTTGTGAGTGCCGATTGTGTGCACTGGACATGCCCTCATTCGCATATTCACATTAAAATTCAATGGGTTACGTTATTTTAAGTTTATACAGTCTTAGTGGAAGGTACTATATACGTTTTTATATAAAAGGCATGACCACGAAAAATGTATTTTAGTCGTCGAGCAATTCCCTTGACTGGAAAACTTTCTTTATAACAAAATGGATTCTAAAATTACCACGTTTTATAAAAATAAGACAGTTTTCCTAACCGGTGGGAGTGGATTTTTAGGAAGAAGTATGTGAACGTATATAAAATGCATTTTTTCCGAACCGGTTAAAGATAAAACTATATTTTTTGATTTTCAATGATAAACGTGATAGTTTCTGAACAATTTATAATTCAACGTGTATGATATTGCCTTGTATTTCAGTGATCATTGAAAAACTGTTGCGAGCAACAGAAGTGAAACGTATATATATTCTAATAAGGTCCAAACGTGGACAGGAAATCAAGAGTCGCATGTCCGACTTTAGCAGCAATTATGTAAGTTGACTGCGATCGGAGAGATATTTTAAGCGTAACTCAATACTCCTTTAAAAGCTGTTTAGGGAAGTGCTCAAATCAAATGCCAACTACTTGGAGAGGGTATCACCCATAGCCGGTGACTGTGAACTGCCAGATTTGGGATTGAGCGAGGCAGACAGAAAAATGCTCGCGGAGGAGGTGGAAGTGGTGATACATGGTGCAGCCACGGTCAACTTTGTGGAGCTACTTAGCATCGCATTGAGCATCAACACACGCGCCACTCGCCTAATTGTGCAGCTGGCCAAGGAGATGCGCCGACTGGAGGCAATTGTCCATGTGTCCACGGCGTTTTCAAATTGCGTGACTGAGCACATCAAGGAGTCCTTCTATCCAGAGCTATTGACCTGCACAGCTGACGAGGTTTTGGCGCTGAAGGATCAGCTGAGCAACAAGCTGATAGACAAAATGACACCGGCGTTGCTCGGCGAATTTCCCAATACGTACACCTTTACCAAGGCGATGGCGGAACAGGTGGTGCAAAAGGAGGGACGCGATCTACCGATATGCATATTTCGACCAGGCATGAGTACGTGTTGTTGGCGACTAAAGTTTCTTTAATACAGTTTTTGTTTCCTCGGCTTAAGTTCTTCCCAGCATTAGGGAGCCCTCCAAAGGATGGATTGATAACCTCTATGGACCCATTTCAATTGTATATGGCTGTGCACTTGGCGTTGTTCGCGTCATGATATTAAACAAAGAAGCCCGATGCAATATTGTGCCGGTTGACTTTTGTGCGAATTTAATTCTTGCCTCCGCCTGGCAAACATCTGTGGAAACTGCCAAGCGCCAGTTACCTGCACCAGATCCACCTATTTACAATTTTGTTCCGACCGATAAGAATCCACTATTTTGGAAGACATTCACAGGCACAATAGAAAATCAAAGATACGTTTTTCCATTAAACCAAATGTTATGGTATCCGTTCCTTATTTGTACGCCCAGCTTATGGGTCTTCAAGATCTTGTCTGCCTTTTATCACAATCTGCCTGCGTTCTTCATCGATATAGGATTACGCCTCAAGGGTCAGAAGCCACGAATGAAATCAATCTACAAAAAAGTACACGATGGCATCAACAGATTATTCCCATTCGTTATCTCTAGCTGGAGCTTTGAGATGACCAATTCTAGTCGGCTATTAGAATGCATGTCTCCACAGGATCGAAAAATCTATGATTTTGATATGAATAGTATTGATTGGGTAGATTATTTGACCTCTGCCGCGGCTGGCATCCGTGTCTTCCTCTTGAAGGAAAACTTAACTGAGGAATCCTTACAAGCCGCACAGAAGCTTTGTAAACGGTAGGCTGACAAATTATTTTATCGTAAAGAAACAGATATGATACGATTTCTAACGTTTTAACGATTCTTAAATATTATCCCTTCAGCGATTAGTTAATGCTAAATTACACATTGTTATCTTTTGCAGGCTCTCAATACTCAATGGACTTGCACATCTTGTTGCCTTTAGCATTCCTGTTGCCATTATATGGTGGGTACTAAGCTTAACCTACTTATAGTTGAGTAAAAATTAGAAACTAAATTGTTGTTTAGGATTTTTCTGTGTTAAATAAATTCATGGTTTTGCAATGGAAATATATTTTAATCAAATTCTATTGGCAATCAATTCCAAAGTGCAAGACGTGCAATTAAATCCAGGTGTTGCCATAATTGTTAAGTGGATTATTTAAGAAAAGATACGAATAAAAGAATATATTTATTTTAACTGTAGATATTGTTATTTATATGGTTTTTTCAGTAGTTATTTGGATCAGTTTGCCTATAACTACATATAGTTAAATTTTGTTATAAATTGCCTTTTGTCGTTATATGATTTACATTTAAATCTGGCAACTATCGCTTTGGTATTAATTTATCGATTGTGCTATTGTTAACAGCTCACAATGAGCACAACAGTGAAATAACAGCATTCGTCGTAGACATATTTTGTATCTGTTATGGGTGCGCTCTCTTCAAAACCTGTTCTCGGCTTAGTTGCAATAAAACGTTGAAGCGTGGTGTACGTTAGTGTCTCGGTATTGTTTGAATGTATTGACTGCTGTGGTGGCTTCAGTGGGACTCTGGTACTGCTAAAAATCGTGCATTGCTGCTGCGCTTAGTATAGATTTTTTGCTACTGCTCCAAATATACATATGTATGTACGAAAGAAGTACAAAATAAGTGGAGTAAGCGCAAATATTAAAGAACTAGCTCATTCGCTATTAATTTGCCAATATACTATAATACAGGAGAGCAAAAAAGTCGGGTCATTTACAAATACCAAAGTGTTACGCGGCAGGCAACAATTGCCCGAAGGCGTGTTGCATAATTTAGTTAGTGCCCACTGCAGAGGCGTGGCTTGGCTTGGTTTGGCTCTTTCTAAGAACTTCTCCTTGAGCTGTTGAAACGAGAGCCACGAATGGCAGCAGAAAGGGCAAAACAAAAACAATATATAATAAGCGCAGCTTAGCTTTGTCTCTTGTTTTTATGGTCTGCTTCTTGGGCGGCTGTTATGCTTTTCATGTGACATAACGGTATTTGTGTGTGCAAGGGTGTATATGTGAGCAACAATGTATAGCCAAGCTAGCGCTTGTTTTTAATAGCTGACGCTAACACAGATTTGACTCATCGCAGCAGTGCATCCCATTTAAGTTCGTGCGTGTGTGTGTGTGTGTGTGTCAGGGGGACGGCTTAGCTGCCATTGATTATATACCAATTTATATGCATGTGTTTCTTGCCCTTAAATTGCAGATAGTTGTCGCATAAAGGCGCGTTTGCAAATACAGTAACAAATACTGCCAACCCTCAAAAGTCGCTGTCGAAGCCGCCGCCGCCGTCGTCGTCGCTGCTGCTGTTGCGTCGTTACAGCAAAAACAAGTGCGCGAGTGTTGTAAAATGTTTGTGAGCTGTGAAACGAGCGCATTAGCGGCGCTGCTGCTGCTCTGCTGCTGCACAATGCATGCAGCTGCCGCTGATTTGGTGGACAAATTGCGGGACGATTCCGAACTTTCGCAGGTGAGTCTTAACACACATACAAAAAAGCAAAGTAAATATTCTGCCCAAAATAGAAAACACATGTATTTAGGTGCTTAGCCAGCTGTTTCTTAGCCGTAATTAAAGTTGTTTACACACACACACACACACACTTGTACACTTACTCATACATAGCTGTTAGCCAACACACATGCATTCATATTTTGGTCAAGCCAGTCGGCAAATGTCCTTGGAACGAAAATCCTTGTGCAGAAAGTTGACAAACGGAAAGAGAAGCAAGTGCGACAGCGAGAGAGAGAGAGAGAGTGGGAAAGGGAGTGGGAGAGATACACCCGCACAGGTATTCGTCTGTTTCAGCAGCTGCCTGCTTCTTCTTTCGCGTCCTTGACCTTTAACATTTGCACTTATTGTTGCTGTTGCTGTTGAAAAATCGATGATGGCCAAAACCCTTTTCAGCCGCAGCACGGTCCAAAGTCCAAATGCGGCCACATTCGGTATGCATGCTGAGCCCATTATATAAAATAAACTAAGATATAGGAAAAACAGAAAAATAAATTATGCAAAAGCAGCCGCACAACCAAGCGGGCGCAGTACAAAGCCGGCCGTTGCCGTTGCCGTCGACCGAGCATAACAGTTTTCTACCTACATGTTTATGTTTGCCTTTTTGCACCTTCAAACAGCGCCACGCACACACACACACACACTCGCACACAAACACGCAGACATATGGGCAACACATAAAAGTGTAAAAAGCCAGAAGCCATTAAAGGTTGCCAGCCTAAAACAACAACAACAACAATAACAACAGCTGTCCGTCTGTCTGTCGTTCTACTCTGTTAAGCATTTAATGCCCAAAAATAGTTGTTAGCCAGCGAGCATTTTAAAAATCCAGAAGAAAAAAAAAATTTCACAATTGAAAAGAAAGCGTGCGAGCTGCTAACTGCGAACTACCTCACCTGTAAATGTCGCCACAATGAAAAGATATATGCAGTACCTTTGCCGTTACCTGCAGAGATACTTTCTGTATACACTGTACATACTGTATTCGTATGTATGCGTACCAAACTAGTGCAGATTGTGGCAACAGCAAAGCTACAGCTACAGCCAAACAGAGCGTGTTCACGAGTGGCATCAACGTGTTGCGAGTAGGATTCTCTGCATCCACAATAGACTAAGCAAATGTGTATATATTTGTCTTTTCTACTATCTGAGAAATGTCTTTTCTGCTAATCCGCGCTCAAGACTTTTGCTTTCAAGTGAACGGTTCACTATACCGAGTGCGCACTGTATTTGAAAAACAAACAAAAACTTGCATGCGCTTTTTCATAAAATGTTCCGAATATATTCATTATGTGCAAAACTCATTACAGTCTGATGGTTTATATAGATGAATAGGCGTACCCCATGTATAGGGTACGTAGCTGGGGTCAAATTTTGTATACAAGATTTAAACAGCAAAATTTTAAATGGCATAAAAAAAACATTTGAGTCATAGATAATCTGTTACAAAAAGCACTGAAGCCCCGTTGGGCTATTAATTTTACTCGGAATTAATATTTCGTTCAATGTGATAATTATAAAATGAATATTCCCAATATTCTATCTGAACTCTGGCTTTCTTTTCTTTTAGTTTAGTTTACGCACACATTTCTTGAATGAAATATTTCTTTTTGCAGTCTCTTTCAATCATATTCCCAAATGTTAGCACTCAGTTAGTTTGAATTTCTTGTACACAATTTGAAAAAATGATTCAAACAATGTTGAAGCACTCTTTCGAATCCACATATAGGCCTATTGTAATAACTACAAATTATGTTGTATTCCTCGAGTGAATTTTCCAGCGAAACCCATTAACCTAAGGATGAGCAGTCGATTGTGTGTGTGGAAGAGGGCATCTGTAGATCGAATACCCGACCCCACGCCCAGCAAATGCTGCTGGCAGCGTGCGGTCGTTGTACGGCTGACCTCCTGCGCTGACCCTAAACTTCCTGTTGGCAGTGCAGCTTGTGACGTTGCGACGTCATCTTCTGTGTCGCTATGCATTGCATTTATATTTATCATTTTAATTTTTAACCTTTGACTGAGGACAGAGCCGACGGCTCAGGCTTGGCTGGGGCACGCTTGCGGCGTGTGTGTGGGCGGCGTACACTCAATAGCTCTGAACGACCTAGGCACACACAAACACACACACACGCACACACACTTGTACATACATCAACTGGACCATCAACGCGAGCATCGCATTCAATTAAATTTAATTTAAGATTACAATACTTATACAATCCATGCCGCGACGCGTGATATGTAGCGGCTGGCAGCGTTATGTGAGCCTCGTGCTCTACGAATAAAAATACGTAAAACTATTCCAAAGCGTTGAACGTGAATGAGCGGCTGACCTTAATGGACGCCTATGGAAACGCGCATACATTTGTACAATTACTTAAAGATCTCGCAAGATGCATTTGAGATCCATTGCGAACGTTAAACTGGCATGCGATGCGGCCTCCCTCGTCAGTCTGTGCCACTCTTCCCCCGATCTTTCAACACCAATTAAGACACAACTCGAGAGGGTTGCTGCAATTATACCAAAAACTTTGCCATGCGCATACAATGTACCATATATGTACATATGCATAATTTGTACCAATTACATTCGGGAACTCTCACACCCGCAATGCTGCAGCTAATCAATGATGAGATCAAGTGCTGCGCAGGAAGCTGGTCAGGCTAGCCGGCTGCTCTTTTCTGCGTTTCGGATCCCCGTCCAAGTGTAGCAATTACTCCATTAGCTGCCGAAATGTACTCCCTCATGTGACACGCCCCATTCAATGATAACGTACTCACAGATACACACACCCGAAAACACATATGCATACAGCCCTCGTACTCGTAGCTTGTTTTGTTCCCTGTCTAGTACAAATTAAATAAATTTTGGCTAAAAAGCACAAAATATGTGAGTTGCAAACAAAATTTGAACTGCCAGCGGTTCTCTGTCTCTCTCTCTCTCTCTTTCAGAACACTGCCAAATCCTTCAGGCGCCTTATGCCAGTAAGGGTAAGCTGCAACAACAACAAAAATAGCAACAAGAAATGTTATCTTAAAAATTGTTACATGAAAAACCGTTACATGTTTTTTGCCTTAATTTCGTTAATAAATTTCAAACAAGGGTTGTGTGTTCTGAGTGGGCGTCATCCCACCCCCCCCCATGAGGGTTGGCAATGACCAACGCTGTGGCTGCATTAGCCGAATTTGTTTGCACCGCCGTCTGGCTCTCTGAGTCATGATGCCCTTGACTCTAGCCGGGACAGGCGCAGGGTGCACACCAATATCAGACTCTGCCTCTGTCCCGGACAGGGTTCAATGGCACTGCGCGCTGCGCATGAAAATCGAATGCATTTTGAAACAGCAAAGTTTTGACCGAGGGGTGTTTCCTTTCAGCGCCCTCGCTTCATTTAAGAAAAGTTTGCATTGTGTGTGCCACGCTCTTCGCATTGTTTGTCAATGGGAGTTGGTAATGAATTACAGTTGACAGTTTGCACTTATGCAAAGCAAGCATCGCACACTCTCCCCTGGGAGCAATGACTATGCGAAGACAGCTCATC